AACTACAAACTGTAGCTATAAGTCTTTGTTGTCGTAATTCGTAACGCTCTATTCCATTCTATAAATACTGAAATAAAATTTAAGAATACAATCATAAAAATATGATGCAAATCTCGAACTACATAAGTCTTTGTTGCCGTAAGACGCTCCATTCTAATCTATTCTATAAATACCGAACCGAAAATTTAAAGGTGCAGTCATAAAAATACCAACTGCAGCTGCAGCATCGTAACACATAAGTCTTTGTTGCCATTCTTCACTCCACTCTATCTTATTCTATATTTAAGAGTGTAATTGTGAAGTATCAACAAAGGGCGAACTAAAAACTGCAGCTACAAGTCTCTGATGCCGTGATTCAATTAACTCTATCTTAATCTATTCTACTTCGCTTTACTTCGCCTTAATACTTTTCTATTCCACAAATGCTGAAACCAAAATATAAATGTGCAATCGTAAAAATGTGATACAAAGAGTGAAAATACAAACTGCAGCTACTACGGTCTTTATTGCCGTAATTCCGTGTGAGTGGTTTTATACTGCCTCATTGAATGCGAAACATATCGTATGTGATGGTCTAACATTCTGTCACGTAGTCCTGTTTCCTCGTAGCATTTTAGATTTTGTATCTTTTGAACTGAATTCTAGTAAGAAAATTAAATTTGACAATTTTCTTTATTTGTTTATGCAAAATTCGTTGTGCATTTTAATATATAAAATAACATATTAATGGTCTGAATAATATTATAGTTAGATTTTTTATATCAGATTTACTCTTTCTCTCTATCATTATAATGATTCTCACTTAAATATAGTCTAATTCTACATATAAATATTATAAAAAAGCTAACCAAGTTATGTTCAAATTATTACAGCAACACTCTCTAAATGAAATTAGAAACCAATCGTTACATTCAATCAATGATTAGATTTTTAGATTCATACTACTATTGAAAATCCGCGGTCTAGTTTATAGTGGCCTTTTTATTTACATTTTTATTGGAACAAGCTACACGTTTGCATTACCGCATCTATTATAAGGATCGAAGATCGCAACATTCAGCATCTTTTTCTTTCTCCTGTGTGCTTTAACTAAAACGCAATCTCAGCTATAGAGCTGTAGCTCTATAGCTGAGATTGCGTGAAACAAGTGGCATCTGTAGATGCCACTTGTTTCAGCTTGTTTTGTTTCTATGACCGATTGTACGTCCATTTAATATCTTCTCGTTGATTATATTTCCTAAAATAAAACATTATAAATAGGAAAAAATAAACTTGCTTCCTTAATTGGCCCTTAAAATATAAACTACATGGCCATCTTTTTTTCGTAAATGACCAACGGGAACGAAATGTAGTTGAGATTTTCCTTTAGCAATTGTGAGTAGATTTTTTCTAATAATAGATATGCTAAGCTTTATCATATAGGCGTATGTAACGTTTACAATACAACTATGTACGGTTTCGCATAATAACAGAATATATTAATATCTATCCCACAGTTTTCTTTTTGTAAAAAAGGGATACGTAAGTAAGCAGATTTTGTTAATAGCATATAGAACGGAAATATTCCTCTTTGAATATACATTTTTTGAGGATATATAACGCTTTTTTTAGAATAAAATATAACTAATATTTAGTTGGTGGTTGATGTAAAATATGGAAAAAAATTAATATTAATTCTCATTTACTGAGTACCCACGGCTATAGGATAGCTTCTAAAGGTAAAGGTTTGGAGCTCTTGCCACATACTACGATTTACAATGAGTCCCTTCATCTCATGATACGACACGATACCAATTTTTATTTAATCTACTTGATGAAACTGTACCTTGGTCTCCTCTTATTCCTCCTTCCTACCACTTTATAATCTATTATGATGATCATAAATTCGTCGTGTTCAATCAAATGTCCCAACATTTTTTGCCTTCTGATTTCAATAATCTTAAAATTTGACGCTTTTCCTTAAGTAGGACTTGTTAGATATACAAAAATATTCTTTAGATCTTATGAAAACTGAAGTAATTAATATCATTTTAAAGAAATGTATAGGTGTATATACATTAATTATGTCATATATTTTTATCATCGGCACCATTTTGTTATGAAATTTGTAAATATTTATAAATATTATATATAAATATATATTATGTCATTTAAATACGGAGATGACTGTGCTCAGAGTTTTTTTACATGACAGAATCAATAAATCAATGCAGACAAATGAACCAAACTCACTGACATAACCCGAAGAATAAACAAGCTGAATCGGCAATGGGATGATATCACACCTCGAAGAAGCGATAATCGATGTGCAAGATAGGTTATTAAGTGGCGACTAAGTACGAATAAACGCAGTGTAGGCCGGCCCCCCACTAGATGGAGTGACAACCTCAAATGCATTGTAAGGTGTTAGTGGAATGCAGATGGGTCAAGACTATTTCTTATGGCAGTCTATGGGGAAGGCCTATGTTCAGCAGCGGACAGGTAATAGCTGAAATGTTGATCATAATTATAGTAGATATAATTATGGAAGCATACAACAAACAATCACTGCCCACGGCCGAGTAGGTTAATTAAAAACATAGATGGATTTATAATTATAGAGAAATAGAATTTAAACTTTAAATAAGTATGTACGTAGGTGAATCTACAATTATAGAGAACTTGACTCGTTTTTAATCCTATGTGTTTCTAGAAAATTATGCATTTATTATACGACTTCATCTAATACGTGAGTAATTTCCATTGAAATTGAAATGATTATGGAAAGTTTTTGTTACATTGTAAGTATATGGCTTATATGTGATTAATCTAGAATTTCAATTTTTTTCTTTTTTTTTTATATTCAACATAGGTTTTAAACGAGCATGCGACTCACTTGAATGTTCGTGACTACCACTGCCCATGAGCACCCGCAACACCAGAAGCATTACAGATGTGCTGCCAGTCTTTTGAAAAGGAATATACTCTGTTCTTGGAGATTACGTTGTCATACCAATTCGGAAATACTGCTGCTAGAAGTTGACTCTAAAGCGTGGTTGTATGTGGAAGAAAGTGCCTTGAAATATGGACAGTGGAAGACCGCCACCCGTCCACATGGTGAGGATGAAGCGTTAATTTATGGCGGTTTTTGCGGTGTTGCGTCTATATTAAAATAATTTATTTAATAAAATTTTAATTTTAAAATTTTAAATGTTAGGAGATTATTTACATATAATTAATGATGTGTGTTGTTATTATTGAATAAAAATATTAATAATAATGATAAAAAAAGTATCCCAGTTATGTTCCAACAAAAGTTAAAGAAAATATAAGCAAAAAAATAATTGACCCGAACATACCAAAAAGATATTGTTGATATTATATATATCAAATATTTATATTCAAAAGTAATGCAACCAAAAACAATTTAATTAAAATTAAATAATTAAATATATTTAAGAGGAAACTCTTAAATAAAAAAATAAAATAAAAATAATTAAATAGAATAATTTATTAAATATCAAATTGTTATCAATTTCAATCAAAAACAAAGAAATATTTTTATTTGAGTAAACTTAGATTTAAGTATTTAAATAGTTATCTTTCATTACCGCCCATTTGGAACGCAATTTCAGCCAAGAAGAACGGACAAGAAACTCAATTATTACTTTTTTTTTAAATATTAAACTTAAATTATTATGTGTAATATGCTAACATACCATAGCCATTTATGAATCGATTTATACAATACTTTAAATCTATCATGACCATCATTTCGTCATTTCTACAGTTAACTCTCTACTGTTGAATATGCTGCACCAACCTAAATGCAGATTCCAAAGTTATATTCGAAAAGGTCTAACTTAAAATCTGGTTGGACTGCCCTTACATTATTAGTCAATTTTATTGGTTTTTCTACTTCTGATATCCACGAGTACAAAGCAACAGGTAAAAAACTAGTACCTAATACAATACAAATAGTATGTTTCATAAAATTTCTATGAATATTACTCGTTCAACGATTATGTGAATAAGTCAGTGATTGCAAACTGTTTATAATATTAGATATTTATATATTTTTTTTTCAAATATAAAATTTACTAAATGCAATCGCTTTTACTGTACCCGTATGTTGAAAGACCAGTTAGTATATATCTCATTAAACGAGTAGCAAAGGAAATGGTAAATTTCTATAATATTCATGGCGTCTGAATAATTAAAGTCCTTTGGTTTTAAAATTAATTAATTCCATTCATTACTCAAACCATCAAGTGTACTAGTTTAATTATGTACCTATATGTACTTATAAATATGTAATTCATATGCAATGCAGGAAGTCAATGAATGCAGATGGTTCAGAAATGTTTTTTGTGACAGTCTATGCATAACGGCTGATATGATCATGATGATATATGTATGTGTGATATTAATTATGTATGTGTTTATGTATATATTTGTTTGTATGTTTTTGTTTTCTTTTTTTACAACGTAGAATGACAAACATGCTGACGGCCCACCTGATGGAAAGCGGTAACAGTCGCCTATAGACATGAGCAATACCATGGACATAACAGAGTATACTGTTTCGCCCATTATACCCCCCATGCTTTGCCATTCCTGAGAACTCAGGTGTTATTCCTCCGTACCCTGTAAATTCACGCCATATCTCACTCTTCACATCGGAATACAGCCATGCAAACACAGCTGATTTAACTACTGCAGTTGAAACACGAATGGAACAGAGGTACCCAAGCATTTGTACAAAATCTCCCTCTGGTATGTATGTATGTATTATATGTTTGTATATGTATGATACTTGCCTTTTTTTTCAATGTCCTCTATCCAAAGGTTGTTTGGAAGAGATTGCCTAACGATAAGGTCGCCTTTTGTATCACTTCTCATAAAATTAACTGAATTTACTATTTTATAAATAGTACCAATAAAATGTAAAATAAAAAAATAAATATGTAAATAAGCATACAACCCGTCTAATGGTAAACGGTCATTGTAACCTATGGACGCCTGTAACATTAGGGGTGTCACGTGCACATTAGCAACCCTAATGAAACCTTAAAACACCCTTTTAAGAACCCCTTCCTGTAGTTTCTACCTATATGTTCATTTGGGACAATTGTAAACTTTACAAATACACGTTCCTTTATATACAACATTTAAATAAAAATATAAAAATATACAGGGATATCTGTATACACATTGTGCATGTAAATTATAGTAATTTCTTCTTGGTATCAGTTAAATACGTGAATCCACTATTTTGTAAACATTTCCGTCTATATATAAAGCCAACCTTTACGAAGCAGATGCCCTATACCTTCCTCAGTTTAAAAACAGGACTAATAAATTCATTCATTCAAACAGTTGTCGATATCTGACCATTAAAACGCTTACACTTTGTATGTTTTTTTAAATTATTTGTGTAACCATAAAAATGTGTAGACATTTTGCGGGTAACGTATTACATTTGTATATTTTAAACGAGTATTTTTAACTATGTTATTTTTAAAAGTTATGTTAAATTTTAACGATATCTATATTTATGACCGAAATGAATTTTATGAACTTACTGCGTTGTTCGATTTCAACAGTTGTTTCGACTTCATCCGAAAGTCTTCTTCAAGACGATGTACCGATGGATATGTCGCAGCGTCACGTCTTATATAAATTCATAGAATAGTATATAGTATAAAAGTGTTTCTATTCGTGTTTCTACCGTGAAGCAGTTGTGTTTGCATGGCTGTGTTTCGGTTTGAAAGGTAGGATATGGCGTGAATTTACAGGGTACAGAGAAATAACACCTGGGTTCTCAGGAATGGCAACGTATAGAAGTACTAAACAAACTGGGGGTATCATGGGCGAAACAGTATACTCTGTTATGTCCATGGTACTATGGTGATATTTTAAGAGGAACGCTGCTGCCCATTCCTATATTATTAAGTTTCCACCATATAACTTTATTTTTTAATGAATGATAATGGAATGGTAGGTTCACTTGTGTTAATAATATAAAAGGGTGTTAGCAATGGGATTTGTAAATGTAATATTGCTAATATTCCCTTCTCCTTGCCCATTTTAACTTAGCAGGTAGGATACTATATTATACAGATCAACAAAGGCAAAGCCGTGGGATGCCGCTAATTATTTAATAAATGAAAAATGCAGGGATTGAACTTTGATTTTCAAAGTTTGTACAAAGCAGTTTATTATCGACATTCCCAATACGAACTGATATTTACTGCCTCAGAGAGATCCCTAGAGCGGTAAATATACGAAGTTGGCCTATTTGAAACTGCCTATGTGGATATTTTTTGCCGCAAAACGCTTGATTGATGTCATCTACTACGAAGAGTCTGACCTCTATTGAGGTTAAAGTTTCTTGTTATAGAGCTAAGATAGCTCTAGATTTATAAGATTTGGAATAATACCAATATTACAAATGTGAAATTTCATAAAGATACTCGTATCTGTACGTTTATTACCCAATCATGCTTAAATTACCGAATAAAATTTAAATGAAATCTGCAACGCAGTTGGTGTCGTGGATCCTCATGGGTAGCGATAGTCACTTACTATCAGGTAAGCCGCATGATTGTTTGCCCTCTTTCTTTTTTAATGGAAGAAAATGGAATAATAATTTCGCCTGCGCTATCGGTATACGCTAGTGGGGCACCAGTGAGGGGTGATAGGTGACGATGGAAGTAGGACCGTTAGCCAATCGCAACAAATTTCATTAGAATTAACCACGATAGTTTCTAGGAAGAACCACGTGGAGGTCGACTTGATAGTGTGTATTGCTAGTAATGGTGAAATTAGACCCCCTTACTAACAATCCGTTCCCCCTGCCCCCGTGTGTTATAAAAAAAAACAATAATTTTGTATGTGGATAGATAATGGCCTGACTTAGTACATAAGATGCTTTCTATACAGATATACGCGAAGGAAGTTGCAGGAAATAGCTAGTAGCAAATAATTTATTAGCCTATCGATTGTATTGAAATAACCATCCCCTATAAACATAAATAGGATAATGAATATCACAGATATTGTAACGTTCACTGTACTCCTTGTGTGGTGTCATTTTGTAATAACTATGGTGTTACGAGAATGTTGTAAGAATGAGCCACCTCTTCCTTTCCCGTGAATGTCGTAAGAGGCGATTGAAGAACCATAATGGTCGAGAGACGGTAGCGTCCCTCTTAGAACATCTTATAACAAAGCCTAACTGCAGTTGTTAATCTACTTGCTAATCGCAGACTTAACTAACTACTGGCAAAAACCCCTTTTGGGGGAAACCAATGTTCAGCAGTGGACAGTAGACGGCTTATATTATAATGACAATAATAGTTTTGTGGCTCCACTTTGCAATTTAACTGCTATATCCCACCTTTTAAACAAAACATATTCAAGTAAGATTTCGGTCAAGTAATATATCTTGGTTACGGAATCGAAATCGTAGGTAAAAATTAGTTATTATAATACAAACAAAATTTAAATATACAAAAAAAAAAAAAAGATATGAATGAAATTTACCTTCTTCGTGTTATTTCTATCACTTTATATTACAATTTCATATTTACTGTTCCAATAATTTAATTTAGGTCAAAGCGTAAACCCATTAAAATTTCAAATTTCATAAATCCGATATTCAGTTGATGTTTGCCTTTCGGCTTAGTTGTAATCAGTAGGAACTTTGATGGATATAATATTTCAACGGTATTTATATGTGTTTGAAAGATTTTTATTTAAAAATTATTTTAATATGATACTTATATATAATTCTGTAAATAATAATGTAATTTTTAAAATATTTGTAGTTTAATATTACCTTATTCCTTTAAATTGTTTATTTCATTTCAAACTGTATAATCAAGTAAATGCTGTATAAATTTTTTAATAAGCATATGCGTTTATATTATATTAAATTTAATGTTTATTATATATGTATGTTATTATGCAATATGCTTTTGGTGTTCCAATAAATAAATAAATCCAGTTATTTCTACTAATACAAGGTGACTCAAAATAAAGTTCACATTTAAAAAACCAAAAAAAATAAATAAACAAGGATTTCCTTTTAATTGTGCCACGAAAGTCGGTTTGTTGGCATAAACTTTAGATTTGACGTAACTCCACAGAAAAAAGTCCATAAGAATTAAATCGGGACTTCGTGGAGGCCAATTTATGTCATCTCTCCTGGATATCAATTTGCCAAGAAAAATTGCCACGAACTCGTGGTAAAGAACTGTTGGACGTGTGTGAAGTTGCTCCGTCCTGCTGAAACCATGTTCTTTGGTTATAACCAGGAAAGTTTTGTAGTTCAGGCACGAAGAAGTTGTGTAACATCTCCACATAACGGTCCGAGTTCACTGTAACTTTCCCCTTTTATCTTCAAAAAAGTAAGGGCCGATAATCCCTCGCGTCGACATTGCAGCCTATACGGTCACTTTAGGCGAAAGAGGGGTTTCTGATGTTGTGTTTTGGATTAGTTGCACTCCAGTATCGGCAATTTTGTTTGTTTACATGTCCATTGAGATGGAAATTAGCTTCATGAATTACCGTTTTTGTAAAACTCGTGTACCTACGCACAACGCACGGTCCGATCCCGAGAAACGCTCCATAGCGAATAAATTCCCAGAAGCTAGGCTACCGAATGACATACCCTCCGCGTCCCTCAGAATAGTTGCGTTCACGCAATAACCAAAACAAATGTCACCTTTCTTTTTAGACAACCTATATAATAAAATTAAATTGTAAATAATTTATATCTATACATGGGAGATATTTAGAAAAAAAATGATATTAATAAGACCTTTAGATCTTATTAAGAGCCCTCATATTTTCATAATAATCTCACATTTACAGACATTGAGTAGTTATAATTTTATTATACTAGTAAAAGTAAGAGAAGTTTAGAAAGAAGGAGAAAAGTAAAAATATAGTGCAAAAATTGTTTGATTATTATACTAGCTTAATATTTTCTATTCATATTAGCAATTGGCCAAACAACTTTCAATTCAAATATGAACTGTTTTTATTACTTTCACAGATGTTATTCTATATTCAGTCCTTGTTTATTAATTTACACTTACATTGACTTGAATCTAAAGTAAACAACTTAAAAAAAAAAACAAATCTCAACTTTCCATATACATATGTATATCTGATCAGTTAATTTATTTTCTATTGCAGAGATAAATATATTTTTTTTTCTTTATTTTAGAATCATCTTTTGTAAGGATATTTTTAAAAGTAGATATTTAAATCATAATAATGCATGCAGGTGGCTCAGAACTGTCTGTGGAGAAGGGCTTTAGCAGTGGACTGATAAACTGATGAAGACTGACTGACTGATGATGTGATGATGATGATGATGATGATAATGAAGTTGGTCCTTATTATTATTTCTAACGTTAAACTAATTTTATAAATGTGAAAATTAAAGTAATTTTCTTGATACTAATTGACGCTTTAACAGCATTCATAACAAGTGTGAGAACGATACGATTATCTGTCAATAGGCAAAAACATTAAATTTTTTTTCAATATTTCGATTGATTATTTGAAAAGTGCTCTATTAGGAAAATATATCATTAATCATGGAATAATATACTTATTAAACTGTTGCTGAAAAATTGAATTTTGTTTGTGAAAATGTATGTGAAAAATTCCAATGCAAAATATGAACTAAATGTAAAATTTTCAAAGAAATAATAATATTATTGTAACATATTATATTGTTAACGATATAGTTTGGAGGTAGAGTACTTTTTTAATAATAAATTAAAAACATTGAAAATTGCCAAATAATTTCATTTCCATAAGTAAAAATTATAAAAGCTCTCAACAATTCAATAAATCATCACGATACTTCACATATATACCTATATACTATTTGGAATGGACAAAGACACAGGCTACTTTTTACTAAGTCACGGGTCGAAACTAGCATAAAATATTTTGTTGTATCAACCAATAACTGTCCACTGCTGAACATAAGACTCCTCCATAATGGGGGGTTTTGCACTAGCAAGTTGCCACACTTGGTAGGTGGATTGGCAACCGCAGTTTGGCTTTTCGTGATGTTTTAAGAGGGACGCTACTGTCTCTTTTTCCGCTATAAGTTTTCTTAGTCGCCTCTTACGACAACTAAGGGATAGGAAATAAAATATTTTAATAAGTAATTATTTGTTAAAAGTTGTATTTATTATTGCTTGTATTTTATCTAAATACGTTTTAGAATTTAGGATACCAAAGCATGTAATTATAATTTATGTAAATTATTCGCTGCTAATCATAGATCTTTCTCAAAGAACCGTCCGAATCACTTCTATCTATTTAACTTTATGATATCGCTAAAGCTGATAAGTACCTTTGAGGTCGTCGATCCCTATATAATTTGTGTAAATACTAATTAAGAAATTAAACTAATTAATTTAGAAATTTCTTAAAGATAAAACATTTAAGTAGTCAGTAGATAATATGTATAATTTAATCCAAGAATAACTAAATTCATCGAATCCAACCAGAACTGTTTATTCTCCTAATAAAAACTCAATAGAATTTCTTCACCTTTGTGTCGTTATCAGAAGTCTGTTTTTGCAGTGTGTTTATATATATTGCTGATAAGCGTCGCAACATCACTCGCTAAATATCGGAAGCCTATTATAAAATATCCAAAAGATACACAGTTTTGGGCGACAGACTTTTTTGTTAGAGGGTGCAGAAACTTTTTGGAGAAATGCCCGTCTAGTTACAAGTACGTAGTTAGTCTTTTTCAATCGACGTCAAAAAGAAGGAGGCACTGAATTCTGTTTTTTTTTTTTTTTGTTTTATGTTTAATACCTCATAACTTTATTAGTTCTAAACCGATTTAGAAAATTCTTTTTTTATCTGAATGAATATTACTTAGAGATTAGTTTCATAGAAATATTATCAAAATCGGATTAGTATCTTAGTTTTTAGATCAAAATAACTGGTTTTGTTTTTGTAGGATACAATGTTTAATAATTTATTAAATGAACTTCTAATTAACAACAAATATTTAAAACATATCCATTTTTTATACAACTAAGTGTGCCAAATAATTTGAAGTGATAACCGTCGCCTATAGACATGATCAATAACGTGTGCAAAATATAATACGTAATGACAATCTCCAGAGGAACTCAATATATAATTTGTTTTTTTTCTATTTATATAAACTTTTGTGCACAATAAAGAATAAAGAATATATAGATATAAGATTTGTATCCATATTGCCTATTAATAATAACGTCTACAAATACATTGCTGCGCTGGTATTCCTTATGGGTTACAATGTTTACGAACTATCTGTATCAAGTAACCTAAGTGTTAAGTTAGGATATAACTTTACTTTTATTTATTTATTGATTTTTTTTTCAGAGCCCAAATGATTTGTGCACGTAACTATAATGGTGATTACAAGGATTTCTCAAATTACTGTGAAATGCAGTATGAAAATTGTAATACATGGAAAGTAAGTAATCCAACCCGCAACAATAGTTTTTTAAAGCTACTGTTGCGGGTTGTATTGAAACGACGAGATTGGTAGAGAGTTGTTATTTTCAGTAACATGTGATTGACTCTCAACTGAGAATAATAACTAAGAATATTAAAAATAAAAATAATCTTATATAATAGATAAAAAATGAAAATATATAAACTTATTATAAATAATTACAAGAAATAATCACAATGAGAAAACAAATATAGGACCTTTGAATAATAAATACAAATATAGAAAAAATAAAAATACTGGAACTACACATTAACCTAGTACGTAGTGCTAAATTAATAATTATTAAACTTTTTAATAGCCGTGTGTGCCCCGGCATAGAATCGACCACCCCTTTCTTTCCCGTGGGTATCGTAAGAGGCCACTAAGGGAGAACGAGGGATGGGCAGTCGCGTCCGTCTTAAAATATGTCTATAAACATAACTGCAGTTGCCAACCTGCCTGCCAAGGGTAGCAACTAATGACAAAAGTCTCCTTATGGGAAAGGCTCATCGACAGCAGTGAATAGTAAACGGCTGAAATAATTATAATAATAAAAAACTTCTTAATAAACAAACAATTTTTTTACTGCACTGCATGCATAAACATAAATAGGGCTCCATATCTACTATTTATTACTGCGCTTTGCAAGAAAGCTTGGTCTAAAAGAAAAATATTTATTTCTTTTTTTCTTATTTTTCTAATGGTTTATTATTACTCCCTATTAAAGGAATCACGTCCCGTGTCGACTTTAATGTCAACGTCATTCACGTTGAACTTGACGTGCAAATTTTCCTTTCCTCAACAGGTGTTGAATTTAAAAATAAAAAGGAAAAACACATTTCAAATATCTTTAAGAATGTCTTGATCGTTTTATTTTTATTGCCTTTGATGCTATTAAAACACTCTTTAAAAGTATTAGACCTTTTTTTTTAATTTTTTTTGTGTATCTGGAAAAATAATACAAGATATAAAATATTTATTTATTTATTTATTTAACACTTTATTGCACCAACATAACATGATTTGTTAAAACAATTTTCAATAAGTATAGTGTAGTACAAAAGGCGGTCTTTTATCCTTATTAGATATATTATTCATATACATATACATACATAAATAAACACATACAACCAAACATATACATATATATATAAATACATATAAATATATAATACATATATATATATATACATATATCATATAAATATACCATATTAATACACATATATATAACACACATAAAACTGGAAATATAGACTAAGTGATTATTATATGCTTTAACTAAGTTTTTAAAAATGGGCAACGATTGAGCGCACCGTATAGAGGTTGAGTTTTTGCACGGAAAAGGATTTGGAGTAGAAAGAGGAAGAATGGGCAGGAATTATGAGTTGAAGGTTGTCAGTACTACGTAAAGAATAAGAATTAGAATTGCTCTCTCCAAGAAACATAAAACGTTCTTTTAAATAATGAGGTGTAACTGGATTAAAGAGAATTGAGTAAAGAAGGGAAAGGATGTGCCAGTTACGACGAAGACGGATAGAGAGCCACTTGAGTCGTGTACGATATAGGGATAATATCAGTAAATTTACCTATTAGATATATTATTCATTTACAGAAGAATATGATTAAATTTATAAATAATTAATACAACATATATCTCCTAATGTATTACGCATATAGACTATTACCATATATGGACTGTTTTTTTTTTTTCAGATTGGCAGGTATTTAAACGAGAGCGGTGCTAGAATTTAATGCTTCAAGTTTTATATTTTATATACGTAAGAAAATAAAGATCTAAATCTCTGTTTTTTTTTTTTTTAATTTTAAATTTGAGTGTGTTAGAATCATAATCTCACCTGACATAAAGTGAGAATATATATAGGGTTTCATTTCGAGTTTATTATTGTAGCATTAGTCTCGTTGGCACAATTTTGACATTTCTTTTTGTAATAAATCTAATTTTAAACAACCAAAACTGCAATTTTTGTTCAGAGCGCAAAAAAATTTTTTCCAAGATACTATTGCTTCACACACACGCACGCACGCACGCATACACACACACACACACACACACACACACACACACACACACACAGAGACACACAGAGAGAGAGAGAGAGAGAGAGAGATACACACACATCCTAATACGTCTATATACAACTAGACTGTTAGGTCATGAAATGACCTTATAGTCTAACTATTACTGAATTTAGATTTATATACTGCAGACAACAGATTTACTGCCTTCATTAATCTTGGTTGGCCGAATACGATCCAGTCTCACATAATTCAAACTACAAATATAGTGAAAAGCTGAAGTTTATTTTAATTTTCCACAGGAAAATATATTTTCTAGACGGAGACATTTTACAAAAGTCGTTTGCTTAGGTACTTCTTTACCACTTGTATTTCTGTCACAAAAAGCAGTGTATTTTGATTTCAAAGGTAGTGAAAGTGCAAGATACGGAAGTGTATCATCGTTCTTAGGAATGTCAACACGTTAGGAGTAGCATAGAACTTACAGTACGTTCCGTGATATCTACGAGTATAGTGCTCTTTATATCTATACGCGACAGTTGCCATTTTCCATTACGAGAACTGTTTGTACGTCCAGCTCTTTTAAAGTCTTGATAAAGTACGTATAAAATACAGTGCAGGCAAAATAACTACAACTTAACAAGCTCTTTATCTTTCTTTATTTTATCAATGACCAGAGGAAGACTGTACAAAAGTCGTTTGCTTGGGCACCTCTGTCCTATTCGTGTTTCTACCGTGAAGCAGTTATGTTTGCATGGCTGTGTTTCGGTTTGAAGGGTGGGATATGACAGTGAATTTACAGGGTACAGAGGAATAACACCTGAGTCAACTCATGGGAGTATCATGGGCGAAACAGTATACTCTGTTATGTCCATGGTACTGCTTATGTCTATAGGCGATGGTTATCATTTTCCATCAGGTGGGCTATCAGCTTCTTTGCCATTCTAAGTTGCATAAAAAAAATCTGCCCTTTAGAAAATGCAAAAGTCGGAAATTGGCAGTCCTTATCTCTGTAGGTACTCCCCAGACATATCAAGTAAAAATTGCATAGTTTATAGCTATCACTACTATATAAACAGATTATTTTATTACATACATATACGCTAATAAATGTGTATGTGTGTGTATTCTTTTTTCGAATAATCATATGTGATTTAGAGAGGGAGTGAGGTAAGCTCTAGAGAGAGGCGAGGATATTTAATAAAAATAAGCCCATAAATGATCTTTGAGTATTACGAGTATGTGTCATATTCATGCTAAAAATGCTGAATGAATTTAAATAAAATTGGGTACACACGACACTTCAGATCCTATGTGAATCAAACATCAAGCAACTAATTAACATAATACAACCAGTTTTATAGTAGGTATGACGTAACAATTATATTTTTAATTCTCAGTAAAAGTATATATATATATATACAATTTCAATTAATATATTTATATACAATACAATAATAATATATACACACAATGAATATGTTGTATGTACAAACTTTGTATTTCCATTCCTCAGATTACGTAGAAGTTATTTCCATGAGCAATATGGACTTTTAAATTTTACTTTAGTTCAAAAAGAGCAGTAGTCAAGTTTTTTGCTTATTCTTCTCGACTGAAATTGCTTTCTGACTTGGACGGCAAATTAAAAAATATTACATTATTCACTAAAGTTTTTAATAAAGACTTGTATGATTTTTGATGAAAGTTTTAAAAGGTAAAAATATTCAATTCGTATTTATTTATTACAATTACTAACGATTTTTGACCCGATTTAAAAAAAAAATATTTTTGACTATATTGGCTCCTATTTCTTTTATAATACTACTAGCTTTTACACATGACTTAGTCTGCATGACTGGAATAATGTGTAGTGTATAACTTCTTTCATTCTATATAGTATGTGTATACCAACCACTTACCAGACTAATGTGTAGTGTATATCTTCTTTCATTCTATATAGTATGTGTATACCAAACAGAGATTGGTCAAGTAAAGGCACCAATAGATAACAAATATACAAACTCACTTTCATGTTAACAATACTAGTAAAGGTGTATGATTAAAAATGTTCGTGGGTGTATGCGTGCGTACGCGCGCGCTCGCGTCTCTCTCTCTCTCTCTCTGTGTGTGTGTGTGTGTGTGTGTGTGTGTGTGTGAGTGTGTGTGTGTGTGTGTGTGTGTGTGTGTGTGAGAGAGAACGCACGCGCGCGCGTCTTTTTGTGTGTTTACGTGTGATGTGTGTGATGAAAATAAGTTAGTTAAGTTACCCTATAGTATTACATCGAGGAAGGTTGGTGGAGAGTGAAATACGCTCGTTGATATTTGTATAGAAAGAGTTAATATTAAAAGATATTCTTAGTAGTTAAGCTAGAACAATATCCTCTTATATCAACTATTACTTGCAATATAACCTATTGAATAATATCATGGAAAATATATACCTTAATATATTCTAGTAGAGTCTCCATTAGAAATAGATAGAATCTTAATACAATCTCTATTGCCTATGTATATTTCACTATTTATTAGACGAGTCATACTTTGTTACTAGTGCTTTGACCCAAAAATACTATTTTTTCCAAATTTAAATAGTTGTTTTTTTATTCGAGGTGAAAGTTTGTATGAAATTCAATATAGTCAATTCACTTTAATATCTGAAAAATTTTCAAGTCCAAGTTCCAAGTTCAGTGTCTTGGGTACGCTGCCTCGGTGTGGTGCGTTTGGAGACTATTTATAATTAGTAATAGTATTTAAGATATTGTATATTAATTTTGATTTATTGATGTACTATAGATTATTTTTTATACGAGTATATAGTTCTTTTTTTTTACAACACAGGGGGCAAACGAGCATGCGGCTCGCCTGATAGTAAGTGACTACCGCCGCCCATGATCACCCACAACACCAGCGGCATTGCAGTTGTGCTGCCGGCCTTTTAAAAAGGAATATACTCTTTTCTTGAAGGTTATGTTGTCGTATCGGTTCGGAAATACTGCTGCTGGAAGTTGATTCCAAAGAATAGTTGTGCGTGTAAGAAAGTGCCTTGAAAAACGCACAGTGGAAGACCGCCACTCGTCCAGATGATTGGGATGAAACTTTAGTTTCTGGCGGGTTGTACGGTGGTGAAAATCAGCAGCAGGTATCAATCCGAACAATTCCTGAGTTCAGTGTCAAATATTCGAAATTGCCCTAAAATGTTCGTGGTTAGCTGATGCGTTACCAACCATCCAGGTAACAACTGGTCTTAAAATATTTAATTTGTTCACTGCACTTAACAAGTAATAAAAGTCGACAGTTCTTTTATTGAGCCCCAGCTGTTAGGTTCGGTTTTATAGAGCAATTTATTATCTCTTTTATATTTACTCTTAAATCGTATGAAATGAAGTGGTTAAAATTGTATGCTGTGTGATGATAATATTGTTGTCATTCCACGTAGATAATATTCATATGAAGCCTTAATGTCTTAAAACTCAAACATAATTCTATATTATTATATAAAGGAACTAGCTTTCGCCCGCGTGGATTTTGGTTATCGCAATATGCAATTTTTTGGAAATAACTCGATAGATTTATTTGGATAAGGATTAATACTGGAGTATGAAAATACCACCCAGACGGCGACCAGCGTGGTTATTCGTAATTTTAGAAAGAAAAGTAATTATTGTGACCTAACCGTAATAGTTAGACATATGCCATCGCGGCCTTATTTGTAGATCTCAATGAGTACTTTAAAAACGTATAACATTGTTTTTCATTATAATCCACTATCTATTGGTGAAAGAATTTTTGAAATCGGTCTAGTAGTTTCGGAGCCTATTTGTTACAAACAAAAAAACAAATGTTTCCTCTTTATAATATTAGTATAGATTAGCGGTCCGCCCCGACGACGTATGAGTAAATAAATAAAAAAAAATAGTAATATATATTATTCTTACATGCCTGTATGCAAAACGTTCCAATTACTCAGCTGGCTATGAAGAGGACTACGCTCGGAGTTTCTTTGCGCGATAGAATCCGAAACGAGGATATCCGCAAAATAACTAAAGTAACCGACATAGCCCGAAGGATAAGCATGTTGAAGTGGTAATAGGCTAGTCATATAACTCGAAGAACCGACAATCGATGTAGAAGAAAGGTTCTTAAATGACGACCCCGTATGGACAAACTCAATGTAGGATCCCCTACTAAATATAGATATTAGAAAACAAAAAATATGTCAATTTTGTCACAAATATTATAATAATATTAAAATCTCATCATCATCATCATCATTTTAGCCTTTAACTGTGCACTGCTGAATATAGACCTTCCCTTATTAAGTGACTTTGCCAGTAGTTGCCACGCTTGATAGGCAAGTTAGCAACCGCAGTCAAGCTTTGGTGATGTTTTAAGAGGGATGCTGTTGCCTATTCCTCGACCATTAAATATTCTTAGTCGCCTCTTACGACACTTACGGTAAAGGAACGTGTGGCCCATTCTATGTCGGGACCACACGGAAATATTATATAATAATAATAATTTACATCGATAATCATTATTGTTATTATTTATTGCAAAAACAAACTTATTTTGCTTTTATCTGTTTACAGTTTATCTCTTTAGACATGCTTCTTGAATTTGGAAACTGTCTGTTTGAGCACTCTTCAGAATTTCTCCGCTTCAAGCGTTGTATGTACTTCAAGGACGTCCTCGAAAGACTTATCCACTTACTTATGCAAACAATAATGGTGTATACGATTTATATTT